TGCCCAATTCTTCTGGAAATGCTTCAAATTCCAATACTCAGTCCAATTCTGACAATCCTACCCCTGGAGTACGTTTGCGGACATTCAGTCTTGCAGTCGGTGGAAAGCAGGTAAGCAGATATTTAAAACAGTGAGGCATTCATACATTTTTAGGAATATTCTTTAAAATATAATAAGCCCTTTTGCTTAATGTATTTTGCAAGATTGAAGGAAATACCACTCTTTGATACTCAGTGGCTTGCCCAATTTTTTGTTCATTAGTTATCCAGAAGTTCGCTGCAGCTGATAAGTAAATGTATCTTTACCATTTTAACAGCAGTCACAAGAAACTCGTCGCATCAGCTTTACAACAGGTACAACTCATGCAGCCCTGAGTGCATTCTTAGGAACCAAATCTTCAAAGAGAAGGGCATCCCTGATGCCAATATACGCCCATTCCAAGAGAGCAAAGCTTCCATAGCTGCTGTTGCCGCTGCTGCTGCCGCTGCTGCTGCATCAAGTAGAGCCAGCATATCTGCTGCAAGTAAAGATAAAGCAGAGAAAAATGGCAGACTTCTAATGGGTAAGATTGAATTAAATTCTTCAAAAAAAATATTACAGTTTCAGAATACAGGATAATATATACCTACCTTTTACAGGTAACTTGAGTAATATATTACTTATATCCACCTTTTTTGTCTCCCATCTTTCTGCTTTAGATAGTTTTGTTAGTCAGATAAATGCAAAAATTACACCATTGTTCTTCTTTTTGTCAGAGTGTTTAGCATAACAGAAGAAGGTAGTGAAAGTGGCGGAGAAGGAAGTGACACGCCCCCAAATTCCTCTGGAGGAACACCAACAGCTTTAGCAATAAGCAGAACTTTGGCTCAGCTTCATCCTGATTTGTACAGTGCTGTGCCCAATACACAAGAGGCTACTCGCAGGTACTATTCCTCTTCTGTGCTTATACATGCATTGCACTGTTATTGTATATTCGTTTTGTAGTTGATTTGTCTTCTTTCAGTGCCTTTGGTTTCTATGATCAAGAAAACTATCAGAAGGAAATGTGCTAATAAAGTATTTTGAATGTATGTATATATATATATATGTATGTATGTATGTATGTACATTCGAGTGTACATATGTATGTACATTCAAGTATACAGATGTATGTACATTCAAGTATATGCAAGTATGTGTCTTTTTGTATGTAGATGTATGTATATGTAGATGTATGCATATGTACATATGTATGTGTATATATGTATATATACATGTATGTTTATATATGTATATATACATGTATGTGTATATATGTATATATACATGTATGTGTATATATGTATATATACTTGTATGTGTATATATGTATTTATATGGTTGTGTGTGTGTGTGTGTGTGTGTGTGTGTGTGTGTGTGTGTGTCTGTGTGTGTGTCTGTGTGTGTGTGTTGTGTGTGTGTGTGTGTGTGTGTGTCTGTGTCTGTGTCTGTGTCTGTGTCTGTGTCTGAATAATCTGATTTGATTCATTTCCTATAGGTTAAGTGAAGATGACAGTTCAGGCTCCATAACTCAGTCTATGGCAGCAGACTCAACAGTAACAAGTACTCCAGCTCCAAATCCTGAAGCAGGGCCACAGCAGTAAGTAATATTTGTGCATTTTTTAACCCATGGTCTGTAATACCTAACTTGATTATTGTCTTTAAATCAAACATTCTGATATTGATTTCCATTTGATTTAACTCTCAAAGTTGATGTTGAGTATATGTGTCTATAAGTTTAATTTTTATCTAGTGATTACTCGTGCTGTCACAAAGATTTAAAAAAGGCCTAAGGAATACTCGTTTACTCAGCATGCAATTTACAGTGACAGACTCCCTACATCCTTACAACCCAGACAACCTTACCAATCCATCTACATTCATACCTACACTAGCACAACCAACCAACCCCATCTCAGAATGCACACACATTTAATGAATTCATATTTTTCCTTTTGTCTTGCAGTTGGCTGATGGTCGGGTTGGAAGATGTTATAGGCTGGATTCGTGGAGGAAGATGGCCTTATCCTCACAACAGACTGTACTAGGTGCTCGTTATGCATTTACATCTCTTTTATTATTATTAGCTGCCTTTTTCCTACTGTTGACCATATCTTCGAGTGATCAGCAGGTACCACAGCCTTATCACCCTGGCTGGACTTCTATCACTCATGTACTGCATCCATTTGTGACTCTGAGATATGTTGGGACACTCCAACATGACAAGTGAAAGATGAAGTACATATTATTTCAACATAGTGTAAATAGAACAAATATTATTTTACTTTAACTGTCCTGATTCTAATCTAAGAATAGCTTTTGTGTCCAAAGTATATTTCTAGAGTCTTAGGTCAATATTTTTTTGCTGCCTCAAGAATATTCTGACATTTTTTGTGATTTGAACAATGTGACTGACAACAAAATTAAAGTTATAGCATATACATTTGTTTTATCAGTTTGTTACTCGCTATGAAAGAATGCTATAAAAGTGCTATAATTAGAATTTTGTGTGGGAATCATTTGGTGATAGATTCAACTCCCTGTCTGTATGTCAGATTCTGTGGTAATGTAAAAAGAAATACTAAATAATTGATTTTTTTCATGATTAGTTTCTTTCCAATTGAAAATATGCTATCAGTAACATTGATTATTGCTAGATAGATATGCATAATTTAATGCTACTGATATATTTCTCTGTCATATAGATAATCTATATGCTTATTTTAGTTCTTCATAACAGACTCAAGGAATATTTTATTAGTGCCATTTATTTACCTATGGACCAGTGTGTCTTTCCGGCCTAGTGACTAAATATACAATTTCTTTAGTAATATGTTTATATGTTAGAGACTTTGTAAAGGAGAGGTATTTCAAAATATACAAGTATTTATTTTTACAAGGTTTATATCCATATTACAAAAGAAAGTATGTATTTTATTTACTGTGATAAATAGGAATGAAGTCATTTCAATAAAAGTATCATAAAAGTGTATTTTCAGGTTTTCATTTCCCTAAAATGTACTCTCTCTCGCTCTCTCTTATCCCTTTATACCACCATACATGTAGACCTACTATCTCTGCACCCACAAGATTATGGATAACTTTCAGCACTTGTGCTTGTCCTTGTCAGGTGCTCAATGTATTTTTTCCTTCAGCAGCACAGCCTGACAGCTAACTTATCTTTGCCTTGCGCACACTTATGCTTCCCCTTCCAGTACCCGATCTATCCAAATGAAGGTTGGAGAGGATTGAGTATCTCACTGCCCGAATGTGGCCAAGAATCCAGGCATTAGGCATACTTTAGTGGTGACTCCCCTGTATGTGTGGCTTGTAGGCTTTACCTACACTAACACTTGTGCCAAAACTCCTTGCCTTCCCTTTTCAATGTTATCTTTTTCTACATAAGCATTTTTTACTGTTATTTTCCAAGGTCTCTTAGTCATTTGCTATGCTATATCATTTGTTCTGTTTTCCTTGAACAGATTCCATATTAACTGTGTGCAATAACAATAATAAGTACCACTATGTTATTTCTTACTTCCAAATATTTTCATTTTTTGTCATTTTCTGTAATACACTCTGCACTGCCAGTCACTGGGCAGGAATAGGATCCTGAGCATGAAATAGTGTCCTCCCTGGAGTTAGAGCTCTTCAACCATGGCTCATGGATGATACATTCCACCCTCTTTCACCTGTGGAAATAATGTGAACCCCTTCCTAAATCCCAACTGAGTCTGATCTTTGGCCCTACCTCTTGGATGCATGAGGACTATATCGATTTCATGATCCCATCCCATTCTTTCTATTTCCCAAATCTTAAAAGAAACACAGTGCTGCTCTCCCATGATATCTGTTCACTATAAATCTTCTAAGCTTCATTCAATCCCATCTTGTCAACTAGCATATAAAACTAAAACATTTCACCTCCAATGTATCAGAATATCTTTTCCACTATACAGACCTCTTTGTTTTAACATAGAACAATCCCTGCATAACCCTTATAATAAAACCCATTTCCTCTTCACTTACAATTCCACAGCTCATTCTAGTCACGCATATCACTGCATCCCTGCTCAATAATATTGCTACTCCTGTATCTGTTTCACAATCAGACACTTGACCTATTACATATATTTTGAGGTATGTGTGTTTGATGGAAGTCTCGGACCAATTTTCCAACAATATGTTTATCAAATGTTTTGTCAATTTAAGCCTTTATATATAATATGAGCACACCACATTCACATCCCCAAGAGGTTTATCCTCTGCCCACTTTAATCATCTTACCCAATTACAGTATCATCACCAAGAGAGCAGATTCCCATTTTCATCATCCATAAAACAGGAAGAGGGGAGGGCAGGAGTTGGTTGGAAATCCAGTTATTTCCACATATGCCATACTCTAGACTTCTGCAATTTGAAGATATTCTACATGCCCCTTTCAGCCCCAGAGTGCTTGGCTTTGATGTATCTATACTTTTTATATATGTATATATTACTTACACACACACACACACACACACACACACACACACACACACACACACACACACACACACACATACACCACACACACACACACACACACACATACCACACACACACACACACACATACACCCACACCACACACACACAATACACACCACACACACACACACACACACACACACACACACACACACACACACACACACACACACACCACACACACACACATACACCACACACACACACACATACACCACACACACACACACACACATACACCACACACATACACACACACACACCACACACATACACCACACACACACACACACATACACCACACACACACACACACACACACACACATACACACACACACACACACACACATACACCACACACACACACACACATACACCACACACACACACACACATACACCACACACACACACACACATACACCACACACACACACACCACATACACCACA